TACATAAATTACTGGATTGCTCATCCAGTTCTACTTGGTAAAAACCCTCCTTAAAATCTAGAACTGTAAAAAATTACTTACCCTGTAACATTGAACGAATCTCATCAACAGTAGGTATTATACAAAATTCCCGTTCCAATGCCTTGTTCAGGTCACGAGGATCTAGGCATATACGTAATGATTTATCAGTTTTCTCAACAATTACCAGGTTACTAAGCCACTGCGTAGGACCATCAACCTTTGCTATGATTCCTCGCTTTTCAAGATCGATTAGTTGATTCTTAAGTTTAGGCTTGATTGTAAGTGGGACTCTACGAGGTGGCCTAGCCACTGGCACTGCATTTTCTTTAAGCTTTAAACTACATTTTTTCTGAAATTTACCTAAACCTAAAAAAACATCTTTATTCGTTTCTACAAATTTTTCTTTAGAATGCAGTGTTATGTTATCAATTTTATTAATTAAATCAAGCTCTATGGTAGAACATAAACCCAAGATAGGTGTTGATCTCTCCTTTACAACAACAAAATCTAATAAATGATCAATATTTTTATATTTACAGGCAAGTTTTATTATACCCAAAGGAATGATCTTAAAACCACCATATGTCTCAAGTATGACCTTAGTTTCTTTTAATTCATTAATTTTGCAAACTTTTTCAACAAAAACCTCGGGTAAAATGTTAACCTGTGCCCCTGTATCTATTTTAAAAGGTATATCAATGTTACTAATTTTTAAATTTTCCATCCAGTCTTTATTATTTTTATTCTTAATTTCATTAACAGTGATTGATGAAATCATGAAATTGTCTACTTCATTACTTTCACTTTCTTCCACTTGTACCTCTCTTACTAACCTACCATGATAACACACTTTATCAAAATGCCCATATTTACCACACTTTCTACACTTTTTTCCATATGCTGGGCACCTCCTTGGTCCATGGACACTCCCACAGTTTCTGCAGTGAAATTCACCTCTAGAAGAACTTGCACCCTGACTGTTTGGACTGAATTATGCCCCTGCTTGACTTTACTTCCAATTGATCCAATTTTCACCTTCTCTAAGCTGTTCTGAACTTCTTTTATTTGAGCTTGGGATACTTCATGCATTTTACATATTTCAATAGCTTTAGTCAGATCTAAATTAATTGTTTTTAACATGCTTTGTTGTGCATCCTTACTATTGGTGCCTAATACTATTCTATCTCTTACCATTGAAAATGCTTCAACACCAAACTCACAATTTCTTACTTTATTTTTTAAATCTGTTAAAAAGTGGTCAAAAGGCTCTCCTTCTTCTTGACTGCGCTTATAAAATAAATATCTTTCATAAACCACGTTTTTTCTAGGAGTAACATAAGACTCAAATGCTTCCAATACATCTGCTAGCTTTCCTTGTTGGACCTCTGTTAATTCCAAACTGTTATAAATCTCAATGCCTTCTTCTCCAATTAAATTGAGTAAAATTGCTACTTTAACTTCATCACTTTTACCACTTTTTCCTGATGCCATCAGATATATTTCAAAACTTTGCTTAAATCTTTTAAAATTTTCGGCCACATTGCCTTCAAATGATAATGGATTTGGTAACCTTGCTTCCATGATTTTCGATTAATTTCCACTAGACTGCGCCAAGTAATAATATTTCATTGTGTTTAATACATTTATTTAAACATACTTATTAACAAAGTCTCTAGGAATCAACAATGTTCAAAAACCTATATCTAACAACCCTCGTGTTGACAAGTCGTGACAACTGACAACGAGTCTTTCTACATTGTGCCTAGAGCCCCGTGACCGTAATCATAACCTACTGATATGACATTTCTCTTATTGGATCTGATAGAAAATTTATAAATATGAATACATTGCGAAAAAAGGAATATATATATATATATATATATATATATATATATATATATATATATATATATATATATATATCAAAGAGAAATAAAAGAGTCTTCGCTAAGATAACGCAGATAACGCAAATGTCTTCAATGATATCATGCAAAATATCATAGTTGGCGACATCTTTGGGGAATGGCTTTGGTGACATGGTATAACCTTGCCCAACTCCCTTTTTATCTTTATTTTATTAGTTGCAGAATGTAGACTTATGGTTGTTGTGACATTTTCATATATATTTTTAACTATATTACAATAGCTGTTGTCGACCCTGCAATCTTGTAGTGCTCTTAAGATGGACGGTAGTTTCACTAAAACGCCTTTTTAAAATATACAAATATCAATGCCAAGGGACGGTTATATTCGTTAGTTTTTTCTATTAGGGTTTTTAGGCACTGCAGGTGATCGTTTGTGCCGTAATTAGGGCGGAAGCCAGCTTGTTTCCGAGGTTGGTAAAAATCATCGAGCAAAAAGATAAAAGAGGGAATCTAATCGTTATGAAAAGGAGACCAAAAAAGTGGCCTCTGATGGCGGACATATCCGGAAATGCAAAGGCGCTAAATTTAAATTTTCCAACACTTGTTAACAATACCTGTAAAATATTTTTCAGACAAGAAAGCTTTAATTAAATATTAACGATAATAGTCTAAAAAGTGACATAATTGGTAAAAAACTTCAATATAAATAAAATTTCATGTGACAGTTGGGACAAACAATAACATAACCAAACTAAATTTGACTTCTTAAACAAGGAAAGAGACTGTCTTTCCTTGTTTAAAGTGGCCTCTCAAGATGGCACTTCCTGTCTAACAATATTGTTGTCCCCACTACCTTTACATTCCCTCTTTTATCTTTTTGCTCGATGGTAAAAATCCAGCTTTGTCTCTAGTCTGTTCGTTATTATTCGGGTGTATAATTTACAAAGATGGTTAAGGAGACTGATTGGTCTGTATCTTTTGTTACAGTTATTGAATTATTCCTTGTAAATTTCGTCCAAGGAGATTTCTGGGATATCTTCGGAACTCTGATTTTGAACCTTCCTCTTCTGATATTCAACTATATCTAGAGTCGATTGGTTGCTATATAATATCTCATAGAATGATACAATTTGTAATAAATGTTCTCTGTTTGATGTAATGTTGCCATTTCTATCCTTGAGTTTGACTATTTGTTTATTTCCATTTGTGAGTTTGCGTCTCATTATTTTCATACTTTTATTTTCCTCAATGGTTTTGACGATTTTCTCATCTTTGTATTTTCTTAGGTCTTTTCTGATTTCTCTTGATACTTTCTTGTTTATTCTATTTATATCGTCGTTACTAGAGTTTTCGTCACTTCTCAGTATTCTTCTTTGTTCCATTTTTTTTCTGTATTTCCAGACTAATTTTTTCTTCCTTCACGCTTTTTGGGCAGCATTTCTTTTGAGCTTCTGTTATTGCTTCTACTATTATGTCATTTAGGATGTTAATATCATTTGTTGATGATTTTTCTTGAAGAAATTTACTGATATGATCTTAAAAATTTTGTTCGTTGTTTGGATGTGTCCATATGTTTATTTGCTTCTTTATTATCATATTGTGTCGTTCATAGTTGGTATTTAACACAATGGTGGCTCTCACCATACGATGGTCGCTTGATTTCGCAAATTTATTTAGCACTGTCACATCTGTAAATATGTATCTTTTATCAGTGATAAAGTAATCAATCTCGTTTGTCGTCTTCCTATCTGGGCTTTTCCACGTCCATCTGCGGTGAGGTTTCTTGTAGTAGTAACAGTTCATTAGGAATATGTTTTTGTCTAGTAGGAAGTTTAAAAGAGTGTCGCCACGGTCGTTCCTTCCCTGACTTCCAAAATTTCCAAGAGCAGTTTCTGCTGGATCCAGTTTTGTTTCTATTTTGGCGTTAAAGTCTCCACATATAACTGTGAAATGTGTACGGTTGTTTGTGATGGCTGTGCTTAAATCATCATAAAAGACTTCGATCTCCTCGTCTGTATATTCTGTTGTTGGAACATAAACTTGGATAACTTCTAGAATATATCTAGTATTTATTTTGAACGTGGAATAAGGTACATAATAGGAAACAAGGAAATAAAAATACTTTGTTACGCAGACGACGCAGTATTGATAGTCCAAGATGAAGATAGTCTGCAGAGACTGGTCCACAGATTTAACATAAGAGCAAAAGAATTTAATATGACAATCTCATCTCAGAAAACTAAAACAATAGAACCGCAAAGAACCAAAAAGATGTAAAATAGAATTTGATGACATCAGTATTGAACAAGTAATGGAAATAAAATACCTAGGAATTACACTGTTTAGCTGTAGAGACTTGGACAAATAAGTGAAAGATCAAGTACAAAAAGCAAATAGACTGACAGGATGCCTTAATAACACTATATGGCGAAACAGACATATTAACACTGAGATGAAGTCAAGAATTTATAAAGTCAGTGTAAGACCAATAATGACATTTGCCTCAGAAAAAAGACTTGATACAACCACAACTCAAAGACTACTGGAAATGGCAGAGATGAGAGTACTGAGAAGAATTACAGGAAATACGCTAAGATATCGAAAGAGAAGTAAAGACATTAAGAGAAAATGCAACGTACAGTGTATAAATGAATGGATACAAAATAAAAAATGGAATAACCACATAGGCAGAATGGAGGACTGACAACCTTTCATAGAGGTATTAATCCTCCAACGAACAAGCAGAATTGCTTATAACGAGAAAGATGAATAGAAAGAGAAGAATTTTTGTCTGTCAAGTTAACTGCTTAAGCTACGAGATGTCCTTGCTTGGTCTCAGAAATCATACAAATGAACATAAAGAGGTTACTAAAAGAAAAAATTTTCCGGTTCTTAAACGGTTTAAGCATATTGGTATGTCAGTGATAAGTTAGAAGATGTATGCCAGCAAAAAAGACAAAAAAGGGTTTCCTTTATCCACCTACTTTATTGTTGTTAATATTAATTTTTATTTATATATATTTGTATTTTTTATTACTTATATTCATTTATATCATTTTAATACTAATTGGGATTTAGTGAGTTGCATATTATAAATACTTTGTTATATTGTAGATCTTAAGCCCCGCACTGCTGTTACGCTTCTTCCTGGATTACCGGCTTACATTATATTCATGTGTATTAGATATACAGATTATGTTAATGATGAAGAAAAAGTCAAGTCATTACTTTCTGCATTTAGTAATTCCATCAAAAAAGTAATAAAGAAGAGAGTCGGTGATTTCGAAACAACGGTTTTATGGCTGGCAAATATTTTAAGGTAAGATACACACATTATTGAAATCTATTACTTAATGTAGAAAACGAAAATCCGGAAAATATCAACGTTTCTTAGTGAATTTCAAGATTCACCAAATCTTTTGGGATACATCAGAAGTTGATGGAAAAATATTGATAAGAATATTTTTAAACTACTACTTTATTCGTGGAATAGTTTTGTAGCAACGATATGGAAGTATATCGGCTTACTTTGCTTATGTAATAACCAAATGTCAGTCCCACAGTTCAGCGAACTGGTAGATTCAGCAGAATATTTCAAAAGCCTTAGTGAAAAATAAAATCGAAACTAAACCTGCGATTTTGAATTAAAATGTGCGAGTGAAAATACGGTCTCACCGCTCCTTAGTCATGCTTATTTATTGACCATGTAAGAAGACATTAAAATTCTAGAAATTAGAACGTACATGTACTAAAAGTTTTCTATTCAAAACAACTGGCATTACATTATTGTATAAGTTTCTCTTATTCGTGTACAACTCTATACTCTTAACCACAAAATATTTTTCATTACTATTTATAACTGGGAATAAGCCACAATTAAAGATAAAAATACGTTTATTGACGTTTCAATTTCCAATTCGGAAATCGTTCTCAAAATACAAACAGTAAATTAAACAAATTTTGTTTTTTGTTACATAGTGAAAAAGTTCTTCTAATAATTTAATTTTATCTGACTCATTTATATTGACAATTCAGACATACATTATGCATTTTAAAGTAGACGACTTTAAAATGATATTGCCAATATTGTTGAGTTGCGCTCCTGGGACGACTTTACTTATAAGATAGTTCATTCGATTACATGAAATCAACTTTAACTTGAGAATATCCGTCAAAAAAAATCATAGCATGTAATTCGTCTTTAAAAAGACAAACACATGACATGATGACAGTAAAATTCTCCTGTTAGTGATTCCATAGTAAATTATGAGGGAAAAACCAGGAAAAAAACCTCATAATACTATCCCGACATTGTATTTGTTCGTGAATTTAGTTTACCTTCAGCAAACATCAAAATTCTGATTTTATATGTTACGTTATTTAAAAAAAAAAAAAAAAATGATTATCCTTTATCGTTTATAAATAAGGAATTTTCAACAATCGATCGAATAGAACAGAACAACTTAGAACGAGATCCTACAGCATACACAAGGAATAATATGAGGAAAATAACAATACCGTACATAAAAGGATTATCAGAAAAACTTAAAAGGATAGGAAATAAATTCAACATTTCAACAACATTCAAAACAACAAACACGTTGAGATCTATTTTGTCCAAAACCAAACCTAACAACGAACAAGAAAGGACAAAGAATTGCATTTATAAAATACCTTGTGAATGCGATCAGTTTTATTTAGGTGAATCATCAAGGCCATTAAATATTAGAATAAGTGAATATCAATCTTATATTAAAAATAGAGAATTTGATAGATCTCAAATATGTAAACACGCATGGGATAATGAACATAGGGTTCAATGGAATAATTCAAATATAGTCCTAAAAGAAACGGATGGTAAAAAAAGAAAAATCAAAGAAGCGGCTCTAATTATGCTAAATGAGGACAATTGTGTCGCAAATTCCTCGGCAGAATGTAGTAGGATCTGGTTACCAATATTGAAAGAGGAAGTTATTAATAAGAAAATACCAGTATTAGTAAGTCAGTAACATATAGAGGATACATCATTTACATTTTTTTTTTTTTTTTTTTTTTTTTTTTTAAATAACGTAACATATAAAATCAGAATTTTGATGTTTGTTGAAGGTAAACTAAATTCACGAACAAATACTTACAATGTCGGGATAGTATTATGAGGTTTTTTTCCTGGTTTTTCCCTCATAATTTACTATGGAATCACTAACAGGAGAATTTTACTGTCATGTGTTTGTCTTTTTAAAGACGAATTACATGCTATGATTTTTTTTGACGGATATTCTCAAGTTAAAGTTGGTTTCATGTAATCGAATGAACTATCTTATAAGTAAAGTCGTCCCAGGAGCGCAACTCAACAATATTGGCAATATCATTTTAAAGTCGTCTACTTTAAAATGCATAATGTATGTCTGAATAGTCAATATAAATGAGTCAGATAAAATTAAATTATTAGAAGAATTTTTTCACTATGTAACAAAAAACAAAATTTGTTTAATTTACTGTTTGTATTTTGAGAACGATTTCCGAATTGGAAATTGAAACGTCAATAAACGTATTTTTATCTTTAATTGTGGCTTATTCCCAGTTATAAATTGTAATTAATTTACAATGCCACAAGAAAATAGCTTCAGAACAATATTAAAATATTTTTCGTCATATTGCTTTTACTTGTATTGAAGTATGTACATATATTTCTTTTTGTTGTATGTAGTAAAATTGCGTTGGATTTTTTAAAAATGGTCTGAATCACTGTCTGCTTCTTTTATGTTTTTAAGTTGTTAATAATATTGGCATGCTTCTTTTTATGAGCACTTTTTTAATTATTTTATCTGCTGCGACGTTAACATTCCTTTTTAATGCAAAAACGATTGGTCTTCCTAATTTATTTCATCGTGTTAACCTTAATCGAACCTTAACTGACAGTCTGACTGATATTTTATATTGACTGTTGCCTCATTAACGCCTATAAACCGAAAGCATTTAGCTGAGTTAAATAAAATTATTAAAACTACATTAACCACTTATTAAATACATTAATACATCGACTTAAGCTACTCCGACTTACGCGAATCCAGAGTTTTGTCGATTCGTCATCTGATTGCCATACTTCGATTATCGATTAGATTAGATTTAGATAGAATTACCATCCACACATTATTCCTCATCCAAAGTACATGTTTTGACTTTTCGCACGAAATCAGCACATTTATTTTGTATTAGGTATTTCTTATCTACAGTTTGGTCTACGGAGTGGGAATTTGTTACTTTTATAGCGGGATTTATATTTTATATCTACTGAAGACTTGACAGAGCAATGATGTCATCCAAACGAAGTAAAGCTAATCCTTCTGTAGCAAATAAAAAAGAAAAACGTTATCTTTGGAATGTAAATTTAACGTAATTACATAACTTAAATCGAAAATAAATTTCTGTGAACTACCAAAGAAGTTTGATCTATCGGAATCAACGCTCAGAACATTTATAAAGGGCACAAGGAAAAAATTCTCGAAGCTGTAAAAAGTGCACAATCTTTAAATTACATCATCGTACGAATCGCCAGGGTATTATTGCCGAAATGGAGACAAAGTTTAAATTATGGTGTGATAATGAGGTAAATGTGAAAAATTGTCCTATTGATCAGAATACAGTGTGCTCCCAAGCAAGGCTAATTTTTGAGAGATTGAAAGAGGATACTGGAGAAATCGCTAAGGACGAATAGTTTAAGGGTTGGTTTAGCCGATTCAAAAGTCACTGTAATTGGAATAGCATTGCAGAAAGCGGAGAAACGTCAAGTGCTGATAAAGAGGCTGCGTCTTGTTATCCACAGAAATTAAAAGCCATAATAGATGAATGTGACTGCACAAAACAAACCATATTCAATGTAGATGAGACTGGAGTGTTTTGGAAGAAGATGCCCAGGAGAACTTTTATCGCAGTTGACAAGAAAACCTTTCCAGGTTTTAAGGATGTCAAAGATTAATTGACAGTAATGGTGTGGTCAAATTCAGCTGGTGATTGCAAGTTAAAACCACTCTTATTTTACTGCTTAGAAAATCCAAGAGCACTAAAAAATAAATCAAATCTTGCTTGCCTGTAGTTTGGACGTCTACTCGTAAAGATTGGGTGACAGCTTTCTTTTTGAGGATTGGTCTGGTCATCTTTTCATACCTGAAGATAAACGTTATTTTTAATCTAAACAAATTCCATTTCAAGTGATGCTAATTATCGACAACGCTCCAGGTCATGCTCCTGCAAATTTAATTAGTTTTGACCCACATGCGATAGTTAAATTTTTGTCACCTAATACAAACGGTTATAGTCATTTAAACATTCCAGGCTTATTGCACCAGGCAATCATTTGCACCATCTCCATGAAGTTATAAGAAAAAACGACAAGCTCTCCATTAAAGACTTTTAAAAACAAATTAACGTGTTAGATGCAATGAAAATCATTGGAAAATCTTGAAATGAAGTTTCACAAAAAAATTTTAAATGGCGTCTGGAAAAATTGTGTCTTTTTTTTTCATCACTGATACTGAAATGAAATTGATACCAGAGCATGAAGTTAGTAATGTTATTAAAGAAGTTGTTGATATCGTCCAGCAAATAAATTTAGAGGTTGATAGTGATGACCTTGAAGAACTTTTGAATTCCCACAATCAGAAGCTGACAATAGATGACGTCATAGAAATGAACGGGGACGAAACAGAAATTTAAAAAGCTTAAGCGTTTGGATCCAGTTCAATCTAAGGGTCCAATGACATTTGGAAACTTAACTGAAGGCCTCAGTTTAATTAAAAAGGGATTAAAAATTTTATTATTAGAGTGCTATGCAAAAGTTTTGCGGGATAAAAAAATCTTTGAGCCGTCAAACTACTTTGTTAGATTTTATAAAGCGTTCTACATCAAAATAAATTGAATTGCCAATTTTATATTTGTACATTCTAAGATTTTAATAAATAGTGAATTGCTATTCGTGTACGTAACTTCGTACTTACCTATCGCGTAAGTTCGGGGTATTACTGTATATATGTCCTTGTATTTTCCTAAAATTAAAGTATAATTTGTTCCTTTAGGCTAGTGCATACCATGAAGCAGTATAGTGGAGACAAAACTTTCCAGATAAAAAATACCCCCAAACAAAATGAACAAAGTCTAAGAAACTTTGATTTGTCAGAATATCGTCAGGTATTCACAGATAATGCTGTTTGGATATACCATGGTAAGTATTCTATATTTTACAACATATCTTGCTCTGCTTTTGTCACAAATTAAAAGTAAAAATGAAATAAAGTATAAGTAATGTATTTTTGAATGTGTTTCGTTATGATTTATATGGTAAAGTAATTATAATCACAAAATAAATGAGAAAATCTCAGTGGTTGGCTGTATACCATAGTTTAAAAAAACTTACAAAGAAGTTAATACTTGTAAAGTACGATGTATATTTTTATCATTAAATTTTTTCTAAATATATCAGCTCAGTTGAACCATACAGTGAAACATCTTGAGAGTAATTGAAACTAGCTAACAATCTAGGTATAAAAATCTTTAGATTACATAATCTAACCGCGTAGCACCGAGATACCACGACTTATATCTGATATGCGCGACATTATTGCCTGTAGCCACCTGGGCTATCTGCAAAAACTACTACATCGTCAGCATATCTAATGTTATTTAGACGTACTCCGTTAACTAAGATGCCTTCCTGTAGTTGTTCCAGTGCTTGCTCGAAGATATGCTTCGAGTACATGTTAACTAGCACTGGAGACAAAATACATCCTTGTCTCACTCCTCTATCTATTTTTGATAGTCTCTGTCGACTGGTCATCATTCACTTTAATGTTATCAGTTTGGCTGTAATATAAATTATATATAGTTTGCAATGTTGCGTTCTGTACATACGATGACTTCAATATAACAACTGGGGTCATCAGAAAAAGAAAAAAAGAAATTATGTTCAATCTAGAACTCGCTGGTTTCTCTCTTTCGCATTGGGTATGTATATTAAAATAAAAAACTGTATAAAACTATTTAAAACTGTATAAAACTATACAAATCTCTATTTTAAAAAGAAGAGAAATCAAACATAAATATACATAAACAAACATACAATTATAACTAAACAAGAGTTTATACAAACTTAAATATAAGTTAATATGAAACGACATCAAAAAGATAACCATTTAAGGGATAGAACACTAATAGATCAAACAAAGCGACAACTTCGACGTATTTAACAAATAAAAGACAAACCTACCACAGCAGCAAGCATACTATACATAAAAAGATAAAATACAAATTAGTATTATTACAAAAAACAACCTAATTACGGATACATATGTCAACGTTGTAAAAACAAATTAATAATACGGTGCATATACTTCATCTAATTTACATACCGACGCCTGTCATTATCTACGTCAGAGATCGAAGTTGACATGGTTGCCAAAGTATAAAAAAAATCCTGACTCTATTTTAAATTAAATAGATCCCATAATTATTGCAAAAGTATTACCATCTCTTTACAACGACTATTTAAATTCTTACGTGACATTTTTGAAATAAAACACACTAATTTTGTTCTAAAACAAACAGATTTCATTAATTAGGTAAAAATATAAAACAAGAGGTATTCGCTTTAAAATTCAAAATAATAAAGTACAAAAAGTGTCAACACCGCAACTGTCAAATAAGTGTTACCAATTTATGCCAAAATTTCATCTTTGTTCAATTACAGTTACAGTGTGTTCCGAACAAATATTCTTCATAAAAACGCTTTATAATGCGTTTATACAAATTAAATGAAACATATTATTGTGTGTTTCTTTAAGTTAAAATTAATAAAAAATTTTAAATAATATTTCTACGCGTATATAATAAAATATGTCTAGTGGCTGTAATGCCAGTGTATTCGGAAAAGTGATTCTAAAAAAGAACACACCCATGATACAAAGAAAAGAGAACGTTGTACCATGGAACATACCTATCGCCTAAATATTTCGTGTTGGTATCATGTGACGTCACGGGCTATGACGCCGATGACGTGAATCGGTATGTAAATTAGATGAAGTGTACAAATAATTTATACAATTATTAATACAGAACACACATGAAATAAATCGGTGTTAACAAAATACAAATAGAGAATAGAGTAAATAAAACAAAACAAATGCAAAATGTTCAACTGACAATGTTCAATCGCGATCGCGGCACAACTGAGATACAGTTCCAAACAAATATCAAATCTATATATCAAGTAAACGTACTTGATATATGCAGCAACAAGATAAATGGTGTATTGTACTTTACCCAATAACGTAATAGCACCAACCACTATCGAAAAAGACGTCTTCAGCGACGTACAAGAACTACAAAAACTTAATAATGGACCAACCTTTACGTCAACTACATTTAACGACTCTCTCAGTCATAAGTTTGAAGCGAAGTGTCTCAGGTACCCTTAACCCACACACACACACACACACACACACACACACACACTTGTGTGTGGTTTGAGAGATAAAACTCGACTATGATTTTGTAGATGAAATTCGTCCCTTATCTCACACATACGTCTGGTGTTATTTTGCAGATGGCTCGTCTTGTAAATTAGTTTTTAACACAGCCCTATTTTTATACGGGCTGTAAGCCGTAATCTTGGAATACGGGGAGTATCAAAACTACCACAAAGTCTATTAATATTATATAAATGTTTATATATCGTTGCGAAACTGCAACACGCAAGTCTCCATCATCCAAGCCCGCTTCTTTCAAGATAGATATGAGCTTGTCAGGGTTTAACTCGTGCCTTTTTGTCATCATCATATAACGGGGGTCCTACGGCGATTGCCGCTTCCTGCATTTCAGCCTCCATCTTTTCCTATCTCTCCAATCTCCCTCTTCTAAGCCTCTAGATTGCATTGTTTTTGTAATTTCTCTTCTCCAGGAATTTGGTGGTCTTCCCTTTTCCTTCTTTCTGGCGGAACATACATTAAGGCTTTCTTTGGCCACCGCTCCTCCTCCATTCTCATCACGTGACCATACCATTGTAATTGCCTTCCTTGTATTCTATCTGAAAGAGTATCTCTAATTCCTGTACGGTTTCGTATTTCCTCATTCCTGATTCTTTCCATTCTCGATACTCGACATGACCTTCTAAGATAATCCATTTCCACAACGTCTACTTTATCTCGTTCATTCTTTGTCATCGTCCAACATTCGGCACCATATGTGGTAATTGGTAAAAAATTGGCCTTTTTGTAATTGATAAAAAAATATATACATCAAAATTGACATCCCTGCACCTCTGGATAAGCACTTGTATAGCAAATAGAGCTTCTCGGGTATTTAAAGTATCGCAGAATCTAAATTGTGTCGATGCCACTTGTTCACATTTTTTATATCTGTGGAAAGATGGCAAAACCATAGATGTCAATTTTTGATATTTTTTAGGAGAGCACTTTTAAGATTTCAAACTTAATATTAATTCGGTGATAATAGATACTGTTATGTTTTTTATGCAATAGTACAAAGAACTGAATGTACTTCTAATGCGTGAAACATGAAGGAAGATTATTTGCTAGTTTTTGGAATATCTTAGATATTTTAGATATATGTGGTTTTGCCATCTTATAAATTAATTGTTTTATGTATATATTGTTTTGAAAGGGAAATGAAAAACAAGACATTTGTATTTTATGTTAATCTTGAAATGTTAAAAATTGGATTTGTATAATCAATTAGTCTTTTGAATCCGAATCCATGGCATTATCGCACAATTCGTCATATTCTTTTGCGTTGGATGTGGTTGGCAAATTTTTATAAAAGTCATGGCAGTCTTCGTCTATCAGGTCTAACATCGATAAAAGGTCCTTCTTTTTCTTTGGATTAATACCCAAGGGGATATTGTATGAGCGAAGGACAGTTATGGTAGCCAGTGATGGTCGACCTCTTCTTTTTCCCCTTCTTATATTTAGAATTTTTTAAATGACATCGTCAAGGGTATACTTAAACTGAATTAGCCCAAACTCCTTGGTACATTTTAGCCATTTCATACTAAGCCAAGATATCTTTTCACCTGTTGGTTTGTTTAGTATGTCACGTAAGAGCTTTGAAAATGCCAGAAACTCTTTTTGTCTAATATCAACCACTGTAAATTTGGATTTTCCCCTAAGCGATCGTACAAACTGAAACCAGTCCCTTGGTACCATTCTTTTAAAATCATTTGAAATTTGCTTTTTACAACTTTTAATTCGTGCGTGGTCGCTATCACACTCAAGCGTGTGGGACCTAGTCTAGGACCTGGCAAAAGAAATTTCTGATCAATTATTTTGAGAGTTGGTTTTTTCTGAATGACATACAAAAATATAACCGTCATATTAATATTGAGGTTTTATCCTCCGCACGTGTCCAAGTATGTTGTTACGTGCTGAATGGTCTCTGATACTGTAAAGGCATAAGGTAATTTGATCAGAACCTATGCCTCCAATGACTTCATACCACATAAAGCAAACAGACGATTCAGTGGAAGAATAATATTGTATAGTAAGATTATACACAGATAATAAACGCTTATAGTAGACTATGTTAGTTGATAAATAGGTAGCTAGTAGGACTTAATGTAAATCAAAAACCAGTACTTTTTCCGTTTTATCATTTGTAGCCATCTCTTTGTCTTTTCGTTTGCTTTCAAAGGCTTTATTAGCTTCGTTAATGTGGTCTTCCAGTTGTTCATTAATTTTTGCTCCAACTGTCTCAGTAATAGCATTTTTTTAGTGTTTGATATTCGTCACATTTGTGACATGTATCGATGTAGGGCTGTTTAAATTTATAACCCGTACTATTGAATACGTCACGAAAAATATTATAACTAGCAGATTTCTTTAACCCTTTTTTGAATATATCTGCTTGATATTCTTTATGCATTTGACGGATGGTTAGGTGGCTCGGTAAAAATACTTGATTGGGATTATCTCACCTTGCATAATGACTTTCATGTCTTGCTTGGATATTGATCTATAAATTTCTGAATTTCACTGCGTTCTTCGACCAACTTATTAGACGGTACATGCTGTTTTTATAGCTGTCTCATATCTGTTTTTATAAAACTATCCTCTGATGATTTTAGTTTTTTAACGAGCAGATTTAGCTGGTTTACTGTTACTCCATGTAGTTTGATCATAAATTCTTGCATACAGTTACAATTTTCTGAGGTTCTATATGCACTAAGTAACTAACAGTTACGACCCGATTGTGTGGCTTTCCCCCTTTAATATCTCTGCCTTTCATTATTTGGTATTTGCATTTAGAAAGAGTCATTCTTTCACATAGTACTTGTTTACGCGTATCTGGAGCTTTACTATTAAAACTAGACCAAATTATATTTTGTTGTTCAGGGGTGCAATTTTGATGACAATTTTTTGTACAACATTTTGTTATTGGTCTAAATACTACGACCACGCGACAACAAAGAGGAGTGCAAAACAAAATATGTTTGCATATATGCAATTGCCATCTTTAACAAATAATAATGTTTGGTCTATGAAAAGGAGTAAATACAATATATGCATTTATATTCAGTTTTGCCAACTTTCAATTAAACGCGTATCAACGTGAATAGTGGTGTTCCCTTATAATATATCTGCATATAGTATATTGTCACCTCCTCAAGCACCTTACTTTAAAGGTGTTATATGGAGACAAGAATAGGTATAAGATATTATATGGTATTGTCATCTTAAGATGTCAATGTTTTTGAATTTATTTGCTTTTGACACCTTTAATAACACAATACCTAAACATCTGCAGCATACCTTATGTTGCCATCTTCTAGATTTCATCAATACGAATATGTGGGTATAAAAATCTCAAAATGTGAAAATGTTGACATATATGATTTTGCCATCGTTCCACAGATATATTCTGTTATATATCACTTTTAAAAACGTTTAAAGTGAGTGGCTCATTAGGCTAATTATTATTTTATAGTCTTTGTCTTTGTCTCGCATGATTTTGCATTTAATTTTTTTCGTATAGTTACGAAGGTCGACTTTAATGAGCTTTTGCGGAATATTTCCAGAATATATTTTGTTAAATATAGTCGTTATCCATTTTATTCCTTGTTCGTGCATAAGTTATTCAAGAATTCTGTATAAAATTTGTCAGGCTACAGCTACAGCTTTAACATCGTTAGTTTTTCTAATAGCTGCCATGACTTGTTAAATGGTAATCGGGGGTCCTGTTTGGCATTCTATGTCTTCAATAATAGCAGTCTGCCTTTCATCTGCAAGTGTTACTTCCATATTTTTTCCATGTGTCTAGTCTCTCTTCAACACTTAAAAACTTAAAAGTGGATTACCTTGGTTGTTTGCCAAACATTCAACTCTTCTATTATGTGTTTTCTTATTTTTTCCATTTAAGGGGTTGTTTTATACCCTTAAAAACAAAAAGCACGCTTCGTCCATATATAACTTTTACGAACAAGAGTAAGATAAGCTTAGATCCAAATTTTCACCTAAATCCATGCAGTCCGACAGAATTAGGAGGTAAGGTCCTATTTTCCCCCGAGTTACTGGACTATGACCATTTTCTTGTCATTTTGATCTAACCTATGACTTCAGAATAAGTTTAAACATGGTTTAAACGTTTAAAACGTATATTTAAATGTTTTAACGTTAAAAATAACTTTTTTTATATAAAAATTAAGATGTCAGTTTAAATATTAAATATTAAAAAATGTTCATGGCAGCACATTGTACTAGCACGTCATCGTATGTTGTAGAACAGTTCAAGGACGTTCTGTTAATGTATTTTAGATAAAAATTAACACACGCTATTTTACTATCAGGATGACCGAAAACAAGCTAGTACACTACGCTAAACAAATACACTAGTATACCTAATATGTTTGTTGTTTTAGGTTTAATAAAAAATTTTGAAGAGAAGATACAGTCGCTTATAGTACCTGCGATTCTCGAACACGAGGAAATCCCTGGAATAAGTGGAAATAAACCTAGCGGATTTAGAAGTAGAATAGGAAGTTCTTCGAGTGTGACCAGTCCAACAGGTAGTCAGAAACCAACTGCTGCACTTTTACAAGAACTTACGAATCATTATAAGGTAAAGTTTATTACTGATAAAATTTAGACTTTAAATTAACATAACGAATTTAAAATTTCTAATTAATTTACTTTTTTCAGGTTATTTCTTTGTTGCTATTATCACATTTGTTCTGCTTTACCTTATTTTCGTTCAGATTATCTGATTTGGTCGTTTCGAATTATTCTGGATCTTTCCATTTTGTCTTACCTACATCATACACTTGACTGTCTAAGACAACTTTTAAGAGGTGCTATGTTGACTTTAGAAGCTGTCGTACGTAAATTTTAAACAAATTTACAAACTATTGGCTTATCGAAAGGTAGTGAGCAGAGTAAGCAACCAGTGAAAGCCATCCAAAGCGATTAAAAACACAAAAATTGGTTAACATGATTTTAGCTTCAGTTGGCAAAGTTTTTTTTTTGTATTGAAACACAAGCAAGAGGCCCAGAAAACAGGGTGTAATCTTCCGAAGATTTTTGGTGCATTGAATATGAATATTTGAGCTCCAAATTGCCGAAACTAACCTAAAAAATGCATAAATAGGAGTGGCTTCTAGAGATAATTTTACTATTAATCTTTTAAGTTCCAGGGTTCGGTAGATTTGCCTGCTTGTGGACTAAAAGGTTGGTTTGATCGATTGGTTTAAGAGTATATTGGTTTACAGGTAAACTCTCCTATTTAGGGATTTCCGGATCAGATCGATTTGCCTACTGCTGGACTAAAAAGGGTAGTTTCTAGGGATTGGTAGGATTAAGAGTTTATTGGTTTGACGAATATACCGACATGCTGTACGTGTTTTCTTTTAGTACAAAAAAATAGCAATTAATCTTATGGATTCTAGTTAGGTGGGTTTTGCTGCTTTTAGATTAAAGAGGTGGTTTATAGAGGTTGATAGGGTTAGGGGTGTTTTGTTTCAATAATTAAACATAATTACTGTATGTGATTTTATTTTAATATGATTCAATAAGCAATATTAATCTTAGGAATTCCAGGGTTAGGTTGGTTTGCCTGTTTGTGGACTGAAAGGAATGGTTTTTAGGGTTTGGTTGGTTTTTGGTGGTGTTGGCTTGAATGTGTTGGATTTTGGGTTATTTGATCTTGGTTGTCAGGTTTGAGGTTATTGGAATAAGGTTTTATGAGTTTACGATTTCTGATTTTAGATTTTCTGTTATACCTACTATACAGATTGAACGAAATAAATTCGGAACATAGGAATATAATGTATTTCGGCTCAATTCTGCTGTATTTGGTTGGCCAACAAAAGATTGTCAAATAATTATATTATAAAAATCCAATACTCCAGCGGGCTGCTGGATTCTGAACTGAAATTGAAAGCTACACATAAATCTACGATTTTAATATGCTGTCAAACCAGTTATAGTCCAGGAAATGAAGTATTTCACCTCGCAATTTTTTTGTGCTGCGTGGGTTGACTTGAAATTTAACAGAAGGTAGGTAATAGCCTAAGGATCAAAATCTATATCGAACCAAAGTGCGCCAAAGCCTAGGGGGTGGTTGCCACCCCATCTCCGGGGTGAAATTTTTTTTTACGTTTTAACTACAGGTTTCGATTAAAAAAGTGATTCTAGACAAAAAATGTGCTATACATTTTTTTTATAAAATGATATTTTTCAAGTTATTCGCGTTTGAAAGTAACAACTTTTAGACGAAAAAAATCCACGTTTTTAATCGATTTTTCGCGAATAACTCGAAAATGGTGCATTTTATCAAAAAAATTGTAGAGAACAAATTTGTAGCTTTTAAAAAGACAAAAAATACAATTCATTTTTTAAAATGTTTTTGCGATATAATAGGAACCGAAATACGGCCTATCAATGTTCAGCGGTTTTCTTCAAATGCCAAATTTGAAAGATTCAAAGTCAGATATCGGAAAATGATGCATTTTTGGAAGAAAACTCACAAAACCTTTTTTAAAGAGCATAAACAGACCTATCATAAAAAAAAGACTTTAGCTCAAAAATTGAGTAAGTTATGATGAAAATAAGGTCAATACCTCATTTTTTACGAAAAAATCTATGAAAACAAACCCCTAACCACCACCATAATTAAAATCGATCTTCACCCTTCTGCAATTCCCTTTGTACATGTATTGCTAAAACGTCCAAGAAGTTTGACCCATTTAAAATGCTTAGTTTTAGAAAAAGTACAGCTTTAAAGCGAGAAACGATTTACAATTTCATATTTTTTACCCTTCTTTTTTTAAATATGCCCGAAAATACTGAATATATGAAAAAAAATAAAAATTACCAAATTGTAGCTTTTTTAATGACTAAAATTATCCTTTATTTAGATTTGTTTTACAATGAATATTTGGCAAGATATAGCCGTTTAAAGCATCGATTTAAGATCAAGCGCCATCTTTTTCGGGCCCTTTAAACTCACCCCATTTAAAAACCAAGGGTTCCAAAAAGATTTAATTTACAGATCCTTGTAGCTCTTAAAAACCTCTACAAATCGTTTTTGAAGAAACACTCTATCGTTAAAAATTAAAGGAAATACGTTAAAAAAACCAGTTAATTTTTTTCCGGAAAATTCCATTAGTATAGTACAGTACATTTCGGAGCATAATAATCTAAAAAAACCGGTATATTAGCTAGTGGGGCGTTATACATTCGAAATTGTAAGCGTTCTTATTTTGAAATCCATACAACAGAATAAAAGATCTGCTCATGTGTCTATGGCTTGGCAATACAAATATCAGAGCAACAGATTGGGGATGGTATTCCAAAGATGGTTTGTTATTACCCGTACGCATGAACAAACAACCTGCACCCGATGAACTTTTGAAAATTACTTTTTGCCAATGCAAAAAAGGATGCGGCGTTTCATGTGGGTGCAGAAAAATTGGTTTATACTGTAACTCTACTTGTTCTGGGTGCTCAGATGAAGGGTGCAATAACAGTCCACCAATAATTGAAGAAGATGAGGATGACATAGATCACGATGAAGATGTAATTGATGACGAATAAAATTTATATTATAATTGTTTTACCTATAAATGTAAATATTTCCAACTATTTATGTAAATGTATAAGAATATAATTATGGTGCCTTTTTATGTTGATAAATTTTTTTGTATTTAATTCTACTTTTTTCAATTTATATCTTATAAATTAGTTTATAAAAACTGCAATGTTGTAAAGGGTGATTTTCAAAAGTTGAAAAGTTGCAAAATTTTGGCAAAAAAATTGTTTTCACCTAAAGCACTCATAACAATTGATTTTAAAATATAAAAAAATCACTATTTAACTAATCCAAACCAAATTTCACTCATCTTAAGATTTGTAATATTATTTTACAATTTTTGAAAATTAGGGGTAGTTTTCAGCCCTAAGAACAATCAGGGTTCATCGACATGACATAAACTATAAAGCAGCGGGTGAATTGAGCTTAAATCCAAATTTTTATCCAAATCGATCCAAGACGAAATCATTTTTTTAGAATTAGTAATTTTTTTACATTAATCTCTAAGAAGGGTTGCTTTTTAAGGGTTGAAATATGATGGAACTCTATTCAAAAGTATAAAATAATCATTATTTAACTAATTCAAACCAAATCTTACCCATGTTCAGGTTTAATATGTTATTTTATAATTTTTTGACAATTAGGGGTAGTTTTCACCCCTAAAACCCTTCAGCGCACTTCGGTTCAATATAGATTTTGATCCTTGGGCTATCACCTACCTTCTGTTAAAATTTCAACTGGATAAATGCAGGACGAAAAAATTGCGAAGTTTTAACTTTTTTCGACTTTCATTTCCTGAACTATTACCGCTTGCTTAGACATACCCGTCTTACGCAAACAACATTGTTACGAGACAGATAGTTGAACGATATTTTATACAATGTCTATACCCAGGTATGGATTTATTTTTGTCCAAGTTTTATATTGGTCCACTATTTCAAATGCAGTTCAAACAGACATGTATTAAATTGTATGTTCCGTTTTAATTTGGTTCAATCTGTATACCCAATCATATGGTTTGTAGGTTTTTTTAAACTAAGAAACTGGCGATATCTGAGCGAAAAAAGAAGATATTTGAAAAATCTTAACGTTATTTCAAATATTAAGATTACATTAAGATTTCTATTAAGATTACTTTAAGATGAATATAACATTTTCTGGGAGAAAAAATATATTACGATGCTACATAACCTCAAAAACAACCAACAGCTATAGTGATCCACACGCGTTTCCCAGTGCAACAGAGAAAACTGACGCAAAGCAGTCTCTGTATCTCAGTCTAATGGGACGGGTTTACAAGAATGTCACGTGGTCGATAAATCTGGCAAAATAGAAAGAGATGTACGGACTGCTTTGAGTCAGTTTTCTCTGTCACACTGTGGAAACAGGCTGTTATTGCAACGATCATGTATTAGACAGGGTGTCCCGTAATTATTTGAACATTATCTAATTGGTGATAGCTGACATCAAAATAAAGCGTTTAAGTTTAAATTACTTGGGCAAAATGTTGCTAGTTTTAGTTCTACAGGGTGATTTATTAATATTTTTTTATATTATTTTTGGGGATATATTGACAACTGTTTAACCAATTTAAGTGAAAATTGGTATCTTGCTATTATTTGGTATGCTTAATATGAAAATGATATTAGTTTTACCATTGACACTAGTTAGCACCACCTACTATAACATTGGTTCATTAATGTGGTCATAATTTTTTCGTTCGCCCTGTATAAACATTCTAGGAAAGAAACATTAAATAACATACAATTCTACCAGAAAAGGTGTTCTTGTTTCAAATCAAAAAAGTACACTGTTTTCGAAATAAACGTATTAAACGTAATAAACGAATATTAAATGTATTAGTAGTAGATAATTTTTGCAAACAAAATGCTTTAGATTGAAACAATTGTTTTATTAAACCCTTTAGACAGTATCTAACAAAAAAAAAAAATACAAATTAAATTAAATTAAACAATGAAGTGAATATAAAACAATTGACAAAGTGAATAATTCAAAACAAAAGGAAAAAAATT